TCTCTGCTGTTCCTAAAAGAGGGGAAAAAAAAAAATGAGAAAAAAAAAAAACCAACTTTGCAAAGCCTAGGCAGGCTGTCTGTGTCATATTTCCTGTGTTCTTAGAGGTGTTAATGAATTCATTAATCACTTAATGGCAAGGAGGGTCTTTAGGGACCGGCATCACAATTTACCGCTCCCAGGAGGCAGAGTCTCTCTGTCACTGATCTAAAGTTTTCAGCTCCGTTAATTTGTGCCAGCAGAGCCACCCAGCTCCTGCCTGCAGCCCCCCGAGGTCCTGCCTGCAGCCCCCCAAGCTCCTGCAAACGACCCCCAGGGACGACGACGATGAGGAGCATCGCGGGGGGACACCAAGCCAACGGGGCGTTCGTTTGCTGGGTAAGATCTTGCAGTGAATAATTAACTGAGGCATCCAGAGGGTGAACGGGGCAAAGGAAGCACCTCCCCACCCTCACCGTTGTGTTGCTTTAATTTATCTATCTATTAATTTATTTATTTCTTCCCGCCGGGACAGGCTTCCTGAAAAAACTGCTGCAAAAGCTCCCTCCTTGCCATAGGCTTCGGGAGGTTTCTTGCTGACTTATAGGAAATATAAGCTATGGATAATCTGGGCTCGGGACTGCAGGCTACGCCGGGAAGGGAGTCTGTGAATCTTCCCTAATTGAAGAATGCCAGGGTGATGTATTTTGACTGAAGCTGTCAGTCGGGATGTGAATTTGAATGTTTTGCATCTCCGCTCCGCAGAAAATGTTGATTATTTCAGTCTCTCGCCCCTTGTTGTAGGAGAGCGGCTGATGCCAAAGTTCCCTACAAAATGGCTCTTTTGGCTTATTTCTAATCACACGGCAGTTCGGGGAGAGGAGGAGGTGAACAGAGCCCTCCTCTCTGCTAATTCCCTTCCACCAGCCTGTCATCACTTTGCAATTGCACCTTTTTAAAGGGTTTTTTGTTGGTTGGTTTTGTTGTTTTTTTCCTCCCTGCTTTTCTGTTCTCTCATTTAACTTCTGCTCTGATTTCTCTTCCCATCTTTCCTCTCAGTCTGTTACTTTCTTGGATGGAGAGCTGAGGGAAGTGGGGTACGTAGGATGAGCACAGGGTACCATGGCTGCCCATACACAGGTGTTTGCTCCCCATCCTTAGTACCCTCCCTGGGGTTCCTTCCCCACTGTCCTCTTCTCTTCTCAACAGTTATCGCAGGGATGTCCAAGATGAAAGGCAGGGGAGAAGCTCCACCTCAGCCTGAGAGAGAGAGGAGAAAGGAAGGAGAGAAGGAGGGAATACAAACCCACTTCATCGTGGCAAACACAAAGGGAGGCGATTTCAATAAATGCCAGATGGTCAAAATTAACCAGAGACGTGCAGAGCCCTACATGCCCAACTGTTTGCTTTGGCAGGGATCCTTCAGCTTTTTAAAAGAGAGTCTCCCAGGCGCCCTCTTCTTCTCCTTGGCTTTCCTCATCCCCTTCACTCATCCCCTGGACCCCTCTTCTTACTCCACCCTTCTTCTCCTCCCTTGGGTCTCTTTCTTGGTCTCTCCTACTGCTGCCCACCATCCACATTGCACCTCAAGTGCTGCCTTATGTGAAGAGTGATGGTTGACCCATGCGTAGGAACCGGCCTTCTTCCACCACAAAGAGATGTCCCCATTCCATAGCAGGCTTGTTGAAGGTGGGACCTTGCTGCGTGGCCGGGCAGAGGGCATGTGTCCTGCTGGGGCATCGGGGTGGTATCTCCATGGGGCAGCTGCAGGTGTGGGAAGACCACTGCAGTACAACCCCATAGAATAGGATAAGATGCTCCCACTGGAGCATCCCATCCTTGGGGTTGTCCTTCCTTCCCATGAGCATTAACTTCTTCCTCCCCTCCCTGGGGGCTTGGGTCAGCCTTAAATTTTTTTTTGTTTTGGTTGGAAAGCCAGCAGGATCCCTTGCAAGCAGGGGACCTGGCGTTGTTAAATTGGAGCACCACCACATGGCATGTTCCTCCAGACAATGCAATCAGGACGCCCCTTGTCCGCCACAGGCGGAGAGACCCAGCTAACGATGGGCTCTTTTGTGTGCGCGTGTGCTCTCTGCATTTGAAACATTTATTATTCTAAATTGCCTTCTGCACATTTTACAATAATTACGACTAGTGTTTGCCTTGTTATCTCCACAGTTACTAACAAGAATGCCATCATTATTCCAGTCATTAGCAAAATGGATGTTGTTGTCCGGAGTTGCCGGCTGTGGGACTGCTTTCAGGAGGAGGCTGGTGCTCTCCAACCTTGCTTGCTCTGTCTTCCTTACAGAGGGGTATTGTTGTTCTCAGTAGGCTTGAACTTGAGGGGGTAAAGGGGGAACGGAGATTACGTGGAGAAGAATTGGTTTGAGGGAGTGCTGGTGGGTGTCGAGATTAGCAGCGGTGAGCTCTGGGAAGCTGCTAATGGCAACATCAGTAGAAATTAGAGAAAAAGCAGCCATTTCCCCATGCTCCTTCTGTGTTTGGTGTGCCTTAGGTCTGTTCCTGGCTCTACAGTCTGACACAGAATCACAGAATCTTCTAGGTTGGAAGGGACCTTAAAGATCATCTTGTCCAACCTCTCCCTTTAAGGCCGCGTTGCTCGGACGTGAAGAGATGCTTCTGCTCTTGACGACGGAGATCTGTGGATGAAGGGGAAAAGGCTGGAATTGAGCTGACAGGACTCATCTGCTGCAAGGTGAGTCCAACCACGTGCTGTCCCATTGCCTGTGTGGTGATACCTGTCTCGTGAGCAGCTGGAAGCTCCAGCAGAGATTCTGGCCCCACTGGGTCTCTCCCATTGCCTGCACGATGGTACCCATCTCACCAGCAGCTGGAAGCTCCAGCAGAGATTCTGGCCCCACTGGGTCTCCTTTGATAAAGAAATTAAAAAAGACAGGTTGGGTAGGTTATGTTTTTCAATAAGAGTTGGGGTTTTTTTTCTGTAGTCTCCCTCCCAGAATTTAGCATCCCTGAAACATTTGGAAATTCATTTAGATTTCCCTCATTTCAGGGGGAGGGATATAGGAGGGAAATCGTACCCCCCCAAAAACCCCTGTTTTACCTTGAGGCCTTCTGTTTCATATCATAATGAAAATGTTGAAGTTCACATCTCAAATCTCAAATACATTTTTCTTGAAATCTTACGAAACTCTTTACAGACGTTTGGTGACCAAATAAAGCATTTTGCTTAAGTTGAGTAATAGGTTTCATTCAAACCCAAATGATTGCTTTTCTCAGTTTAGTAGAAAGAAATTAAAAATAGTATTTCTTAATTTTCCTTCGGTTTTTGAAATCTTGGGGGAGCCAGAACTGTTAAGTATCTATCTCACTATGAGACTCCAGAGGGAAGGTCTTATTGGCTTGGAGCGTAAAGATGATCCGCACACGGAGGCAAATAACAAGCAAAGTTTGTTTGGTTGGTTTTTTTTTTTCCCCCAAAGTATTGATCTTTTGCACCAGAGTGCAAAAATTGCCACATTTTCCCATGGTTCATTCTCCCAAGGCTTGGTTTCTTGGTGTTCTAAAACATCTTTGGAGGACAACCACGACCTTGGTACTTTTAAACTACAGAATCACATTGCTTGTCCTTGTTTTTTAAAGGAAGCTAGGAAAACATTATTTATGGGCATATTTTCCTCCTTTCTAAATGCAAATTATTAATTCAAGGGAAGATGTATAATTGTTTCCTGATATTAGGTATTTTTAGGTGTGCTCACATCTGAATGCTAGCAAGCAGGCCTTTTCCATTACACTTTGGAAAAAAAAAACCAACCAAATTTCAATGGGATTGTATTTGTTGAATACTGATTAAAGTAACTGAACAGAATTTAGAATTTACATGGAAAATAAGGTATAAGGTCTGACTTACTGAGTTAAATGATTTCCTGCATTTTAGAAGACTATCACCAGATTAAGGCATAACTATGATAAAATACAACTCCTAACGCAGATGATAGAATAATGTTGCTTATAATGAAAAAGGAATTTTTCATGTTCTACCGTACTTGGAATACAGTGGAAAAAGTAATATACACATATAATGAATGTCCCAAATCTGCTACAAAACAAGCCATCTGTGTGTATATCAAATTACCCCAATGCACAATATTTAAAAGTTAATAAGGGTCTCCTTCAAGTCGTGAGTAAAGTCAAAAGAAAAGGTGATCTATGATTTCTGTGGAAGTCAGCTTGTCCCTGGAGATGATTCTACAGGGAAAAAAAATGGGACAGTTTGGGTGGTCCTATAGGCCGGGTTCACTAAGGTCCCTAATTCTTGGTCCAGACCTTCAAGTTCTTCTGGTATGTGACGTTTACAGGGGAAGATCTTGTTCCTCGGGGCTTGTGGTTCCCATCAAGAAAACCTGTCCTTCCCTGTTCCACCTCTCCACCTTTCAACCTCAAGTGGGTTTCGAAACCCTCATAGCTCACGATCAGCACGCTGTGGATATAGAGTCCTCTGCTATTAACTCATATGACCCCGATCCCACAGATACCATGAGGACGGTGAGTAGACATCAGGTGTCTTTTGGTGGCTGAAACTCAGATTAAGATGGTGACAAAGTTGGGAGGTGGGGAAAAGAAGGGAAACTGTGGGTTACGTCTGCAGCTTTGAATGAGGGCTAAGTGGATGATGGGCTGCACCATAGAAAGGAGGAGGATTGGTTGGAGGGAAGTCAAACTAGATGCCTGTGGTCACTAAACCATGCGACTCCGTGCTTTTACCTTGCAGAGCTGTGATCTCCCACCGCAGCGCAGGGTTTAGAGGGAGTCCAGATGCTAGTGAAGAGCAGGCAGGGAGCTGGAAGAAGGAGGGAGGTGGTGGCCAGTTTGTTGTCATCTCAATATGGTCAGCTCTTGCTGATGGAAGTGTGGAGGGCTTCAGCCTTCTCAAAGAGTCCGTCACCGCTTGGCCATTGCAAAAGAGGGCAATGGTTTGAGCTGTGGTAGGCTTGGGGCTTCTGCAAGATGAGCTGCAATGCTCTAATGATGGATTTCAGTCTTCGGAAAGCTCCATCTGATCTTTGATGCAACAAGCCCAACTCCTGAATTGCGTAAATCTATCTATAAATCTGATAGTCTGTCTTGGTTGATAACCCCAGGTACTTGAAAGGAGACAAGACTACTGATCGTTGGTGGCATTTGTCTGTAGTAGAGAGCCTCCACCACTGTCCTGCACGTCCTCTGCTGGCCCTTGAACATCTGAGCAGACCCTCTGAAGGAGGTTGACTTGGTGACTTCAGTGTCCCGTGCCAAGGCAGGACCTTACTGCTCCCACTAAAGCCCTACTAATAGCGTTGCAGTCACCACAGACCCAGGTCTTGTCCTATGGAACTCTCCATCCACCTCTGGCCAGAGATGCTGCTGAGGAATTATGCTTAATTAAGCAAGATAAAGAGGGCAAGAGAAGCAGAGGGATTAAAACCAGGGCTGAGTAGCAGGGAGTTGCCGTGGCTCTTGTTTATGCTGAGTCTCTCCGTGGGGGATGTTCTTCAGTTTGTCTCAGCATGCCAAGAGTCCTTTAAGTGAGAGGCTGCGGTTTACAGAGTCAACAGATTTAAGCAGGCTACGAATATTAATTATTAATTACTCTTGGAGAGTGCTATACATTAGATTGGTGAAGTAGTTAACAGCTCTGCCTCCTCCTTCCCTGCAGACGCGCTCTTGCTGTCAGATTCCTCTCTCCCCGACTCAGACCCCCCGTGCTAGAATTAGGCCAGAAACTATTTTCCAGTCGAGTGGCTTTTAATGGGCTCTCCAGACTTGTTCTTTGCGTCCTGTGAGCGACTGGGTATGCGGAGAGGAGAGAGGGTGGGATTGATTCAGGCCCTAAGAAGTATTAGGGTTTTAACCAAGTGGGGTTTGGTGCTGCCGGAGGTCATATCTCGTTCCCCAGGAGGACCCACTAATTATCCACACCGCAGGGCAGGGCCGTGCTCTGGAGAAGCCCATTTGCAGAACTCCTGAGGGAAGCTGTGTTTCTGAAGAAGGGCACAGTGGTGGTCTTTTTTTGGATCATCTGTTGTAGAGAGAGCATTTTACCAGGGGCTCAACATGTTTCTGGGAGATCCCTCACCCATCTCAGCTGTGGCAGAATGGATGAAATTGTGTTTTGTGTGATGGTTTGGAGATGGTGGCACGTCCTGGCTCTCTGCAGATGTTGAGAAGGTGTTTGAGTGTCTCTTACAGCTTTTCAAGCCAGTAAGGTACTGCTTTCTTCCCAGGGTGTTCCTCTCTGTGTCTTGGTTGGGGGACATGCTCCGTTAAGGTCACCCACGCCTTCTTGTGATCTGAATTTTTGACCAAGTGAAGGGACTTGCCATGGGAGAGGAGTGCCAGGAGGGAAGGCACTTTGGGATGACACTGGTGGGGTCTTCTCCTGAGCTAAGCCAGCATAGTTCTGCTGGCTTTAGGGGGTCAGTCTGAGTCGAAGCTGATGTCTTACAGTAGTGGGTGGAAAAGACACTCCAAAATTAGAAGCCAACAGCAAGAATCACAGAATCACATGAGGTTGGGAGGCACCTCTGGAGATCATCCAGTCCAACCCCCATCCCAAAGCAGGTCCATCCAGAGCAGGTTGCACAGGAATGTGTACAGGTGGGGTTTGAATGTCTCCAGAGAAGGAGACTCCACCACCTCCCTGGGCAGCCTCTGCCAGGGCTCTGCCAACCTCAAAGTGAAGAAGTTTCTCCTCATGTTGAGGTGGAACCTCTTCTATTCAAGTTTGTGCCCATTTCCTCTTGTCCTGTCCCTGGGCACCACTAAAAAAAGCCTGGCCCCATCCTCCTGACACCCACCGTTTAAGTATTTATAAGCATTGATCAGATCCCCCCTCAGTCTTCTCCAGACTAAAAAGACACAAGTCCTTCAGCCTCTCCTCATCAGAGAGATGCTCCAGGCTCCTCATCATCTTTGTAGCCCTCTGCTGTCCCCTCTCCAGCAGTTCCCTGTCCTTCTGGATCTGGGGAGCCCAGAACTGGACCCAATACTCCAGATCGGGGGCAGAGCAGAGGGACAGGATGACCTCTCTCGACCTGCACTCTTCTTGATGCTATGAGTCAAGCTTCGAGTCCTCCCTGGTGGCCTCATCACATGCTCCACAGCCCTGTGAGGAGCTCAGCCCAGCTTTCCAGCCAATTCTCCCTTCCTTCCTGTACCCCCACTTCATCCAGGCATCGCAGAGGGGTGGCCCTGGCCTTGGGGCTGGAGGCTGAGCAAAGCTCTGCAGGTGGTGGGACCCCAACAAAGGAGTTCCCCAAGTTCCCCGAGCAAAGGATGAGCCATGAGCTGCCCATCGACTCCAGCTCTTGAACCGACCGGGCTCATCTGCCTCCTGGGATGAGCCTCTGGAATGGCAATTTGGGATGAAGCGAGGTCCTAATTACAGGAACCACTCAAGCAGCAACAAGAAGGGCAGCAGAGAGGAGGCTCGGGAGGTCCTTTTGCACGAGGAAGGAATATTGTGCTCTGGTTAGCAGCTGCCTTGTTTCCAAACACCTTGCGCGCTTCGTGCCTGCGCTGTATTAAAATAACCTCCGGAATTTCAATTCCTCTGGGAAAAAAAAAACCCCAAACAAAACAACCTCCCCACCCCCAAAAAGGGCAGGGACGTTGGAACGGGGCTGTGACGAAGCTGGATGCCTCCCGAGCGGGGAGGGCTTGTTTGTAATTCTGCATTGTAAGAGGAAAAATAGAGAGAGAGAGACGCGGTGCGATCCTCTGTCTGGGCAGACAGTTTGGCAGGGAAAGTCACAGCTGGGTGATTCCACCCCCCCCCCCCCCAAAACTGGGGCTTTTCGAGTGAAAATGCTGACAGATCCGCAGCACTAGCGGGGCAGGACGCTCATAATTTATTTTTAATGCCATGCTGTCTTTTAACAGTGCAATTTCCTCCAGGGTGTTTGCTTTGAGATTGCGAGATAATTACATCTCAGAAACCTGGGCTAATTACAGTTAACGGCCTGAAAAAGCCAAGGCCCCCGTTTCCCCCTCTTCACACCCTTTCCCTCCTCGCCCCCCACCCAGGTTTTTTCCACCACCGTTCCTCGTGGCCGCCCCATCCCATGGAGGAAGCGGCTTTGGCACGGCGCTGGGACGTTCCCTTCCCGTCCTGGCCCCACGGAGGTGACGCCCCATTGATTTGCCTTGGGTGGGGACATGGCAAGCCCCTGCCAGGACCGTGATGGAGAGCTCGATTGTGGGAAGGTCACCGCTGGTGCAGAGGGGAGGGGAGGAGAAGACAGTGCCTGGTCAACGTATCAGTGCCCTCTGTTGGGTGGACCAGCCCGCTCAGCCATGGCCACGTGGAGTCGTTGAAGAAGGATGCTTCCTTCGGCCAAGTGGGGAAAAAAATCCTGAATTTTCCAAGCCTCACCCTACAGGGTGTAGGTGCAGCATGGTGCGTGCAAGCACAAGTTAGCTGGGGAGCATGTTGTCTCCCTCCAGCCATTGTACCATCACGGAATTGAAGTTAGCTGGGGAGCATGTTGTCTCCCTCCTGCCATTGTACCATCACAGAATTGTCAGAGTTGGAAGGGACCTTCTAGAGATCATCCAGTCCAACCCCCCTGCCAAAGCAGGGTTGCCCAGAGCACATCACTCAGGAGCATCCAGGTGGGGCTTGAAGATCTCCAGAGAAGGGGACTCCACACCCTCCCTGGGCAGCCTCTGCCAGGGCTCTGCCACCCTCACCCCAAACAAGTTCTTCCTCACATTGCAGTGGAACTTCCCATGGTCCAGCTTGTGCCCGTTGCCCCTCGTCCTGTCACCGGGAACCTCTCAAAAGAGTCCAGCTCCATCCTCCTTCAACCCACCCTTGAGATACTTGTCAGCATTAATAAGGTCTCCCCTCAGCCTTCTCTTCTCCAGGCTGAAGAGCCCCAGCTCTCTCAGCCTTTCCCCATCAGGGAGATGCTCCAATCCCTCCATCATCTTTGTTGCCCTGGGACCTGAGTCCATCCATTCCCATTGTCACCTTCAGTCACTACTTGTAGGTGCACGGGGTGTTGGGAAGCCCTTGGGCTGGGGTTGAGGTTGGGATCTCATGGCCAGACTTGCCACTGCCTTCCCCCACACTGAAGGATGCTCCTCCCTCCTGCCCCTGTGCTGTTTTATCTCCATTCTTTTAGTGGTGGTGGTGGTGGGGTTGTCATTGTGGTGAACTATGGCTTTTGCAGGACAGTTAATACCTTTATTAGCCCAAATGGGAAAAGGGGAAAAAAAGAAATGCAACCCAAAGCTGACAGGCGTGTGGGCTTGGAGTCCCGTGAGACAAGAACAGGCTTTGCATCCAAGACGTGTCCTTGTTTCTGTCTCTATCAGCTGGTCTAATAAAAGCTCCTAATGTTTCCTCCAGGCCTTGCTGCCTTAATTTATGAGTTTGGTGTGGGACCAGGGGCCCACACGGCTGTCAGAAACATGAATGGGTGGGAGGGATGCTAATTTTAATGGGAACACGGTGAGGCAGAGCAGCCAGAACTCCCTAGGGAATAGGGATACG